CCTCTTTTTAGGAGTTCAACAACTTCGAGGCGAAATGCGATGTAGTCGATGGTGTTGTGGCCGTGATCTCCGTGAAATTCGCACCACTTATTGGTGTCTCGTTTTTCTTCGGGATGTTTCAACTTGGCCGGCCATCTGACCACGTTTCTCATTTCCTTCATCTCCGCTACCACTTCATGTGGCTTAATATTCAGGTTGTAATCAGGTAACTTATACTTGGGTGGTGCAAGGGACTCGTCGATTCGTGCCAAATGACAGTCCAACTAGCGCTTGTTGTCTCGAATGAAAACTCTTCTCATCGGGTAGGGCTCCGTTGGTCTCGTGTTGTGTTGTTTATCGAAGTGCCGAGCGCGGCGACCCTCATGGGCACTTTTTTGAGTTCGATGAACCTCATCTTCCTTGCACCTTATCTCAACCCAAACACAAGCCAACACATCCTCCATGGTGCTACAGTTGAACTTCGTGAGTTCTTTGTATAGCTCCCCATCTGGGAGTAGGCTTTTCTTGAAAGCGTCGACCGCAGTTTCTTGGTTACAATATGGGATGGATACCTTTTTGCGGTTTAATCGTCCCACATAGTCTCATAGGGGCGCTCCGCGGTGTTACCAAATTCAGTATAGGTGACTGGATAGCTTCTATAATTTTTTGCTACTAACGAATTGCTCTATGAAGGTATCCGTGAGTTGGGCGAATGAGGTGATGAAGTGGTTTGAGAGGTTGGTGTACCATTGTAGCGCGAGCCCTATTAGGCTAAAGCCGAAGCTTTTGCATATGCATGCTTTGCGAAGGTCCTTTGTTATGGAGATGACAAAAATTCTCTGCTTATAAAAGGCTATGTGTTCATGCAGGTCGGTAGTGTTGTCATACGACTTCATGTTTGGGAAGGTGAACTTACGAGGCATGTCTACGAGAGCTATGGTATCCACGAGTGGCGATTTGGCGTAGCTCTGAGGTTGACTCTTCTTTAGGGGTTTGGCATCCCCGGGATTCATTAGAACATGGTTTCTACTTTGGCTAGTCGTTTGGTCAGTGTTTATTCCAAGGCGGTTGGAGTAGAGGTGTTAAGGTTTTGGAGGAGTTGGGGGAAGACTTTTGGGTTAATGTGGATGGCTGTTTCAAACGGCACTGCTTGGTGGGTCGTTCCGGTTAGAGTCTGCATGGGGCATATTTGTTGGTATGCGATAAGGGTGTCTACTTGCTGGAGAAGCGCAGGGTGGACATGTGTCACAGTAGTTGGATGGGTAGATTCGTGAGGATGTTCCCCATGGTTCGACTCGGCCACATTTGTAGGGTTGCCTAGATCTTGGTTATTGTTGGGGTTGGTGAAGGTATTGTTGGGGTTGAATGGGGGGTCGGAAAGTAGATGTATGATGCTGGTTGAATGACCAATCTAGGAAATAAAATTGATTTACCTTTTCCTGGAGAGCTTGATTCTCAGCGCGGATGGTGACATTCTGTGTTTCTAAGGCTTGATACCTCTTGTTGCTTTCTTATACTAATGTAGTGAGTGCTTTGATTTGGGCGACGATGTCTGGCACTGCATTTTTGTTGGGATTGGCTATGAGGGTTGAACGGACTGGAAAGGGTTGAACAATAGGTCGCACCGGATCGTTTAGTTGGTAGGGCCCCACTGTGGGCGCCAAATTGTAAACGCTAATATTTACAATCGAGTTGAAGAATGAATCTTGTGAAGTGAGCCATTGACAACCTTGGTGGACCTACGGGGTGCCTCCTAGTATCTCTTAGGGAGTCCGAGCAATGCTTGGGGATTGAGGTAGATTATAGGTTTGATGATATGAGCAGTAGGGTTTTTTGATGATCCTTCTTCCTCTTTATGAGTGGGCTGACCTTGGCTTATATAATAAACCGCAGGGGCCCGAATCCTAGTAGGACTTTGAGTCCTATTTGGTAAGGGAACTCTCTTTTCGGGAAGAGATTGGATTCTTTGCCTCTATCTGTTAAGGTTTTGTTGGTAGAGGAATTTGGTTAGGATTTTGATCCTTGTTATGGACTGCTGCGGGCGAATGGGCCAGGTCCAATTCAGCTTAACTTGGGGGATGGCCTAACTCATAGAGTAGGTAGTTCCCAAGGTGTTCTAAGCGTGGGCCCAATCAAGATTGGGCTAAGGCTTTGGGCTGTCATTCATTACTATTGCAATTAGACCTTGTCAGGTCCAATATGAATTTCGGCCCATACAATGTGCTTTGGAAAAAGGTTGGCAAGCTCTTAGTAAGTTGGTTGCTTGCCTTAATATCTGAATCTATGTTTAGTGTGGTTGCTAAATGTCAATATGCTTCTAATATTTGGTGTACTTTAGAAAGGGAATCTCTTACTAAGTCTAAGGCAAAAACATTACATGTTAGAAGGTTACTACAAAATACTAAGAAGGATAACTTGAACATACATGATTACTTTGTAAAAATGAGAAGCTATGCTTAAAGTTTATCAGCTAGTGGAGTGACTATTACGGATGAAGAGCTACTGAACTATATCTTAGATGGACTTGATTTGGAATATGATGTTGCAGTGGTAAATATAACCATTAGGTTAGAGTCAAAATTGGATCCTTTGTTGGTTCAAGAAGCTCAAATTATCTTGCAAAAGTTTGAGCTTTAACTAGAAAAGGCAAATGCAATAATGAATTCTATGGTTAACTCATAATTTCATGGTAGCTCAGTACATATTGCAAACCTATCATCTGATGTAGTAAACAAGAAAACACAATCTGAACAACCTCAATTTGGTTCTGATCAACGTCAGATTCATCCTACAACAAATTATAATAAACAGTCTGGAAGTTTTATGTCTCCATACTCTACCTCTGGATAGAATCAGTTGATGTATTCACCATTTCAAAATCAAGTCTACCCTCAATCCTTACCTAGAGGATTTTATAATGGCCGAGAAAGAGGCAGAGGTGGAAACTGATCAAGATTGATCTGCCAGGTGTGGGGAAAAGCAAGACACCTAGCACTAAATTGTTATCATCGTTTCAATGTGCATTTCTCTGGCAACAAAGGCAATTTCTTTTAGCATTCTCCTCAGTAAGCTAATATAGGAGACTCACTTCAAAGGCCTCAATATTCTGGTGGCATTCCACAACAATACTCTCTTGTTCAACCTGCATTGATGCCAATGAGTTTGCAATATCAGTCAAATATTGGTACTCAAACTTTATTTAATTCCAAAAATACTGGTCATCAGTTATCTTCTGCAGCTCCTTCCAGTATGCATAACCAAGTTTATTCCTCTCAAGCACAAACATAACAACACCTTAACTTTGCCATCAATTACATCACTACACCATCAACCATTCAAGATGAAGAATGGTACATGGACTCTGGAGCAACAAACCATGTCACTTCTAATCTTTCCCAACTAACAACAAGCTCTCACTATACAGGATCTAAGTAGCTTCAAGTTGGAAATAGTAAGCTACTTCCTATAACTCATATTGGTTTAGCATCTTTACCTTGCTTATCCAGAAATTTATCTCTTCATCATGTCTTGTGTGTTCCTTATGTTACCAAAAACTTGTTAAGCATTTCCAGATTCACCAAAGAAAATAACGTTTTTGTTGAATTCTTTGATGATTATTGTTTGGTCAAGGACAAGCAAACCAAAGCAACTCTTCTTCAAGGAAACCTTAAAGTTGGTCTCTATCAGCTTCAAGTTCCAGTTTCTTCTTCTCTTGTGATTACTAAAGTTCTTGCCAGCAAAGTCTATCCTAGTTCTGCTTCTTTTATTTCTGTCGAAAATAATTTCAACAAGACACCTGCTAGTTTGTCTTTGTTTACAACAACCTTTAATTCTTGTAAAAGTGATGATAAGTCCTCTGGCTCTATATCATCTGTTTTCATGCTAATAAAATGAGTTCATTTCAATCTTATCCTATTCGAAAAACCAATACAATGATGTGGCACAAATGATTAGGCCACCTATATGAAGCCATTCTCACTAAAATCTTGGTTGAAATGAATATAACACAATCTGCTAGAAGTAAAATTACCTTCTGCCAAGCCTGCCAATTTGACAAACTTCATTAGTTAGTTTTTCCTAGGTCTAGCTCTAGAGCCTCTAATCCTCTTGACTTGATTTATTCCAATTTACTATGTTCAATTTCTTGATGATCATAGTAGGTTCACTTGGATTTTCCCTATAAAGTCAAAATCTAAAACTCGATCTGTCTTCAAACAGTTTCACAAATTGGTTGAAAGGTAGTTCAATACCTCCTCAAAATGTGTCCAAATTGACTGGGGTAGGGAGTTTAGAAGCCTTGTTCCCTGCTTTCATGAGCATGGTATATTATTTAGGCACCCTTGTCCCTATACACATTAGCAAAAGGGTAGGGTAGAAAGAAATCATCGCCAAATTGTTGAACAAGATCTAACCTTACTTGATCAGGCTAGCATGCCCCTAAAGTACTGGTGGTTTGCTTTCCAAACTATTGTATATCTTACAAATAGGCTTTCTACACCTGTCTTGTCTAATGTCTCCCCATTTCAAGTTTTGTTTCATAAATCACCCAATTATTCTGTTATCAAAGTGTTTGGTTGTGCTATATATCCATTTCTCAGACCTTACGGTACTCACAAGTTCAATTTTCACACCTCCAAATGTACATTTGTTGGCTATAGTTTACACCATAAGGGTTACAAATGCTTAGACCCAACTAGTCATGTTTACATTTGTCAAAGTGTCAAATTTAATGAATTTGACTTTCCTTAAACACTCATCCTATGGTTACCCGATCTAAAGCAAAAATTCTCAACTCAATTTTAGTTCCTTCCTCCCATTTGGATACTACAAAACTAGAATCTGTTATTGAAGCTCTCTATCATTCGTCTTGGAAATCTGCTATGCAATCTAAGTATGATGCACTCTTGGCCAATAATACTTGGGAGTTGGCTCCAGCCACTTCTGATATGCATCATGTTGGTAACAAATAGATCTTTTGGATCAAATACAACTCTGATGGTTCCATTTAGAGGTACAAGGCCATGTTGGTGGCCAAGGGCTTCCAACAAACTCCTGGTGTAGATTATTGTGAAACATTCAGCCCTATAGTCAAATCCCCTACCATCAGAGTTATTCTAATTCTTGCCATGAGCTATGGATGTGATATTCAGCAAGTTGATATAAATAACGCATTTTTGAATGGAGAGTTAGCTATAACAGTTTATATGTACCAACCTGAAGGCTTTGTCAATTCTCAATTTCCCACACATGTACGCAAATTGATCAAAGCTTTATATGGTCTTAAACAAGCTCCAAGAGCTTGGTTTGACAAGTTGAAGCATGCTTTTCTAAGTTGGGGCTTTATCAATTCAATAGTTGATTCAAGTTTGTTTACTTACAAAAAGGAAGATCAATTGGTGCATGTTCTAGTATATGGGGATGACATCCTTCTTACTGGAATCAATGCTACACTAGAGCAAGAAATGGTTCTTAAGCTGAACAAGCAATTTGCCCTTAAAACTTTGGGGTCTTTGAAGTATTTTCTTGGTTTTGAAATCACCCAAACTGAATCAACTCTTCATATGAACCAAAAGAAATATGCTAAAGATTTACTTGTTAAAACAAGCAGGTTTGCATTCCACACCTATGGTTGTAAGAACTAAGTTAGTTGTTGAAGACAGTGAACTCTTTGACAAACTAGGACTATAAAGGAGCACCATCAAGGCCTTGCAACATCTCACCTTGACCAGGCCAGACATAGCTTACTCTATAAATAAGCTAAGTAAGTTTCTCAAAGCCCCTACCCAACTGCATTAGCAAGCTTGTAAAAGACTCTTAAGGTATGTTAAAGGCACACTGACACATGGGATTCAGTTTCATACGGCTGATAGATTCAACCTAGAGTGTTACAATGATGCAGATTAGGCTAGTAATGTTCAAGACCAAAGGTCTACTAGTGGATGTTGTCTATTCCTTGGTCCAAACTTGTTGTAGTGGAGTTCTTACAAACAGAAAGTAGTGGTACAGTCCTCAACCGAAGCTGAGTATAGAGCTCTAGCTCAAGGGGCAATTGAAATAGCCTGATTTAAGAGTTTATTTTGTGAAATTGGTCTTCACCTATTTGAATTACTTGTGATTTGGTGTGATAATCAGAGTGTTGGCTCTCTTGCCTCTAATCCTATTTTTCATGCTCGCACAAAACACATTGAGCTTGATGCCCACTACATCCAAGAACAAGTCACTACCAACCAATTGAAAGTGTAATATGTACCCACTGATCATCAAAGAGCTGATATCTTTACCAAAGCTCTCTTAACCTCCAAATTTGAGTTTTTCAGAAATACTCTTACTGTGAAATCGGCTGTAGCTATTTGACTGATACTGAAGTTTGAAACATTCCGAGTTGTGTTCAGATGTTATGTGATTACCTATGTTGAAGTCTGNGTTCCATGAAACTGATTTCTTAACATATGCTCAAGATACTGTTAAAATTTGATAGTTCAATTTAAATAAAGCTATCCAATAAGTTTTGCAATTTAATGATTGAAGATGGTCATCATGGCTTCCTTCACTGTTAGTAATTAGTATCTGAGATTCTGAGGCAGCACTTATGCAACCTTTTTGATAAAGAAGTGACATTTTTTTATATCAATGTTCTGTTTCTCCATGTACAGACACCAGGGTTAAACATAATTACCGAGTACGTAATGGGTATTATATATCCTGGAAAACCGATTGCTAATGTATGCTTCAAGACTTATGGTTATATAAGCATGGCTCAGGCCATCTCCTTCCTCAGTGATTTCAAGCTAGGGCACTACATGAAGATCCCTCCAAGATCAATGTTCTTAGTTCAGGTACATTTATTATCTACCTATTAAATAAGTAATACTAATAAACTGCAGATGAAACTATATTAAGTAATCTATTCAGATATTATCACGACACTAAAGATATGCCAACAAACATCTTCATGGAAGCATGAAGTCTTAAATATATGATTGACAAGAAACTTTATATCCCCTATAGACTAGAAGTATAATTTTGTTTCAAGCACTACATATCCCAAATCATATCGAATGGTAATATTACTGAAGAGAAGCATCATGCAGCTGCTTGCAAAAGAATTTGATGTTAGCACTTGTAATTAGAGACAAGATATGATTATTCATCGATGTTGGTATATTACAACAATGTGAGACCATTGTGAACAAGTGAAAATATGAAATTATGAACTTTTATAGTAGCAGCTGTATTAGAAGAAAGAATGAACATAGTGAAATATTTGAGTTTTTTTGACTTCTACCCTATAAATCATATGGATAGCGTAACAATAGAATTTATTGGCCTTAGTTGATAAATCAACTCTAATATGAATAATCTACTTAATCTTACTTTTCCACTTATTTTCCTTTCTTGTTTATAAGCTGATGCATGTCTTCTTTCTGTTGCCATATTTTTTGTATGAATAGTTCATTGGAACAATTCTTGCTGGAACCATCAACCTTACAGTGGCATGGTGGTTGCTGACCTCCATTGAGAACATATGTCAAGATGATCTCCTTCCTGTTGGCAGTCCCTGGACATGCCCCGGTGATAGAGTCTTCTTTGATGCATCAGTGATATGGGGTCTGGTAGGACCCAAACGCATCTTTGGATCACTAGGAAACTATGCAGCCATGAATTGGTTCTTCCTTGGTGGTGCATTAGGACCAGTCATAATTTGGCTATTCCATAAGGCCTTCCCAAAGCAATCCTGGATTCCGCTAATCAACCTTCCAGTCCTTCTGGGAGCAACAGGAATGATGCCACCAGCAACTGCAGTTAACTATAATTCTTGGATCATAGTCGGAACAATTTTCAATTTCTTCATATTCCAGTATCGAAAGCAATGGTGGCAGAGATACAACTATGTTCTTTCTGCAGCTCTGGATGCTGGGGTGGCGTTCATGGCAGTGCTACTGTATTTCTCAGTAGGTCTGGAGAATAGAAGTTTGGATTGGTGGGGCACAGCCGGTGAACATTGTGACTTGGCAACTTGTCCAACAGCTGAAGGCATAATGGTTGATGGTTGTCCGGCGAACTAATGCAGCAGCAAGCAATGCTTAATATTGTTTGTATTTTTTTCTGTCACATTTTTTTTTTTTTTACTATGAAAGTTGCACAGGATAGGATTAGCAAGTATTATAACAGTGTTGTCACAAAAGTGAAGAGTGTCAAGAAGTATTGTATGTATCACATTGGGTGATAATTTCAATACAAAGTTTAATTCACATTTTAAGATCCTTCTTTTGAACGAGCCTATGATTTTGTTATTTCGATTTTTCTGGCATTAGAAAGTTTACCATTTCAAAACTGCAACCAGGCGCAACTTCAATTTGCAACCATTGTGAAGGGTGTCAGGTCAATATGAAGAGACCACCTAAGAAGAGCTTGAGATAAAATGATGTGCAACATCAGCTGGATCTTTCATTAGTCATTTAGTAGAGTAGACAAGCTGATTATTCCGTAAATTCTGGAATAATATGTAGTCAAATGAACTCAATTAATAAATTATGCATAATTGTTGTCATTCTGAACCAATAAAAAAAAAAAAAAAAAAATCTCCCACATGATTTGTGGTATAAAGAAGAGGCCGCACCAACTTCATCCTTGAATGTAACAAGTTTTAGTAATGTAGGCCATTACAGCTTAGATCAGTAATGTTATCATTTGGTAGAGAGTCAATTTCTTGCTGTCCATTAGAATCCCATTGTTCAACATCATGCTATTGCCCATAGGGGTTGATCGGGTCCGAGTACTCCAGAATTTTTAGAGGAACCAAAACTAGCCGGTTCCCAAAATATGGAATCGGAATCAGAACCGGTTGGTTCTAGTTCCTAGTATGAAACAGGTTCCATTTTGGTTCTTAGTACTCAGAACAGTTAAAATGATCCTTATTAGTTTAAAAAAATGACAAAAACACCTTTAAAAATTACAAATAAACCCCATTTGTTTACCAAAATACAAATATGATTGATTATTTTATTTCAGATGGCCCAAATACAAATAATGAGATTTTTTATTTTAATAAATTCTTTAACTTTTCTTTTAAATATTTTAAAGGATGCAAAAACCTACAAAATATCAACTGTTCAACAATCCATCAATTTCATGGATTAATTTCTTTTATTAAGATAAAAATATGATAATACTTTTAGAAATAATCCTTGTCATCCAATATAAAATTGAATCTTTATAAATTAATACTAGAGAGATAATCAACTGTAGAGGTAGGTTAATTAATTATGATTCACATTTCGTATATAATACATGCCACGTAATTAACGAGTTTGATTTCTTTTTTTTTTCCAAACTAGCTAACTTACTGGCAGGCCCTTGAAAGTTGATTTCTTTATTTATTAATTTATATATCAATAAAACATTTACAAATCATATGGTTTATAAAACCCAATGCACTCACACCTAAAAGTTGATCCCACAAGAATGTGATGGTCTGCATTAAAATTAAGAGTTTTCACATGACGTATGTTTACAAAAATACAAACATTTTAAACTAGAATACAGCTCCAGTCTGCAGTAAAAATAACAAATGTTCCAAGTTCCAATTCCAAATGTTGTTCCTAAAATTAAAATTACATAACATTTTAAAATATAAAATAACATAAAAACATCTCATGCTTCCATATCGGAAGAATTCCCAATGGATATGGATATTCCTCGTTGAACTGCTCTAAACTCTACAAAAATAAATATAAGAAAATTGATAAGTAATTTATTATGTTAAAAACATTGAATAAAATTATTCTATATATGACAATCATAAACGGCTTAAACCAAATATGCCAAATTGAAATCATATTGTTAAAACAAAACAATGCATGTAGGAGAATGGATTTTGAAATGAGTAATACTAGCCTTACAAAAAGACATACAAAGAGACAAATTCGGTTTAAGGGTTGGATTTCTCTCTTTGTATGCTTCTTTGTATGTCTTTTTGTAAGGTTAGTATTATTCAAAATTGACAAATGCAATGATTACTCTTTTGAAATTGACAAATGCAATGATCTTTATATAGTAGCATCGATAAGATAAGATATTCCAGAAACAATCAATTGACTTTCTAACTTTTTAATCAACTTCATCCAAACCACAACTTATAAGTAATGCGAAAACTGAAAATGCAACTTTATTCTAATACAATCTAGAAAGAAATAATTGCAGAAACTCTCATCTAAGCTAAACTAAAAGAGGAGGCTGCTTCGGCTAAATTTGACTAATCTCTGTAATTTATCTATTGCACATTGCATGGGACAAAAATTATATTGAGCTTGACGAGGTCCAATAAAGAAATAAACATATTACGGCTCAATGCCATAGCTCAATTCTGGTTGGGCGTACGCTTAAATCTACTTTGTGAACTGACCATTCTATAACTTGGGTTATCCTACAAGTTAAGCTAAATCGGGTTTCAGTCCATTACCCCACAACAGTCCCAAAATAGGAATTAGAATCCTCTTTCCTTTCCATTTCAGTTTAGATCCAAGATCTTACTCGAAGTGGTAACCCTAATCCGATAAAAGCAAGTGATAACATTTCTTTCCTAATTAAGATTCATCTACTAAGTAGGACTCAGAGTTCTACTAGGACTCCAACCCCTTTGATTCACTATATAAACAGAGACTAGATTTCTCATTATTCATTAAAAAATAACCCATAGCTTTAAGCTCTCAAAGTTTTTACTCCCAAGAACTGCCATTCCTCTGGCCGTAAAGCTTAGCTTCAACTAACTTTACCACCTTCAACCACCGCAAAGCCTTGCTCTGGCCACTTTGCCTTAGTCTAGCTCTAGTTGTATTATTATGGTAAACCCTTCCTACTCTTAACCCTATTAAAATAACTTCAACTTTGCTGACTTGAACGTCGGAATGCCTACGGTAGACACCACACCGGTGTCACCCAAGCCTTCATGTTCTCTTTCCTTCTTTGTATAAGTCCATCAGATTGTCAGTGACTTGCTTCACACAAAATCCATCTGAATTATTTGTAGATTTTACTGTCTACAGGCACCACTCCGTTTCACCCGATCCACAAATTGCATGCCACCATAAATATTATTGGCGCCTGCTTTGCCAATGGCCCAATGCTGCTTTTTCCATAAGAGATTCCAGTCCATTTATAATTTGATAACGACTGTTAATTTCTTTCTAAATACCAGGAACTATATTAGAATAAGCGTAACACAAGCGAGTGCCTTTCTTTTTTTTTTTAACACAAATGTCTTTGATTAATAGCTTAACAAACCAGAAAAATTTCAACGGGCTTCAAGCAAACCCATTTCATTTCTTTTGTCAGCTTCTCATAAACATTCACGCCCCAAAAAAAAAAAAAAAACAAAAAAAAAAAAAAAAAAAAAAAAAAAGGGAAGCTGATTCAGATTATAAAGCGGAAAATTTTTATTTGTTTTTTTTTGTGGGGGGAGGGGGGGGGGGGGGGGGGATTCCTCACATCAAATAATCAAGTGAAATACACCCCAACAAGAACAGTGTTAAATATCAATGGGGTCTTTAGAAACAAAACAAATGCAAAAACAAATAGGAAATTAACACATGCATGCCATTGGAAAGCGAAAGAAAGAGAGGGAAAGCACCTGAATGAGCTGAACTGGAAGTTGATAAGATAATAGAAGGAGAAATTACAAGGATCTGGTGGTTTAGTTCGATTTTAAGGCAAGAAAAACCAGTAAAATCCCGAAACCAGAAGTCTAACCACTCGAATGAGAAACAAACCTACTCCTAACTGAAGCAAGTGCCACCAGAAAATCGATTTCAAAGATCGGCGAACTTCACCTTTTTCCCCCTTCTTCCCCTAATCGTGAAATTACAAAATACAAACCGTAGATTAAGACTTTTGTTTTAGCTCTTCTGATTTTTGTTTTCACATGTAAAAATAAAAATTTTAGAACAACCCCCATAATTTAAGAATTTTCATGTTTAACCCGGTTCCTAGTCGGGTAACCTATACCCAAGTTTCGGTTTCGGTTCTTGGTTCCTGCATTACCGGAACCAGAACTGGCCAGTTCCACAAAATGGGAACTGGAACCTATCAGAATCGATTCCTTGGGTGCACGTCGTGTCTGGTTCTACCCTATTTTCATGTTCACCCCTATTGAGGACAACATTGCAAACCCACTAACGAAAGCTCTGCCACAACAGAAGCATGATAAACACTTAGCATCTTCTGATATTAAATACATGAATTATTAGCTATAGTGCAAGTGGGAGATTATTAGGGTAGGGCCCTAGAGCCAATCTAATTGTAGGAATTGACTACTTGTAAACAACATGTTGATATTAATAAAAAGACAATTTAACTATATCATTTAGTTTAGATACATCTTGATAGATGCCCGTAGAATGGTAAAATCGTGACAAGGGTATCAAATGCTTTAAATCTTGATTGTAGGAACCCTATGATCACATTAGATGACCATTCTAAAAATCGTTCGTCGCCACAGTATTATCCTAAAGTAAGGGTATAGAATAATGCAATAAAACTATCATAGCGTTGAACGACTCTATCGAAAGATAGTAATAGATCTTACATATTAAATTTGTTTGGTGACAACTTGGTGCAACGCATAGGTGCTTGCAATTGACAAGTTCACTGGATAGATCCACTAGAGGATTATGGTAATCCTAGTATCTAGGGAATATATCCTCTAATGGATGGTGGTGCATATAATCTTTAGACTTGAGATCACTAGAGCATTGTGTGTAAATATGAGTGTAGTTTGATGCTGGCCTAACGTAGTCCTGTTTAGGGTTATCAGTACAAGAGTGATGAGCTATATTGAGAAGTACACTATGGCTATGATGGATTGATATATGATTCATCACTCTTTGGTACAAGAGATTTATCAGCTTAGCAATTCGGTAAATGACAACGACCGCAAAACTGTAGCCGTAGTGGAATTGAGTTGGTGCTCAAGTTTGATTTTATTAAGTCGTTAGTTTGATTACCGAATACGAACATATCAAAGTAGTTTATTTGAAGTTGATATTATTTTTATATTTCAAACCTTGATAAGATAATAGTTGATGAAATGATTTGATTGCATGGTAACCATATTGTTGACAAGTAGTTAATACGTTGAATCCGAATTTATGATGTGGTCATGATGCCTAGCTAGAGGCTAATTTTGGTTTGTGTGTAATGAGACAATTAATTGACTGTTAATTGCCATATTACTCAATGTTGATATGATAAGGAGCCTACACACTTAAAAGACAATTTAAAGAAGATAATGAATACGGATAATTTTGTCATTTCAGGATGAAGGGGTATTTTGGTAAATCTCATGATGTAATTAAATTTTCTAGAAGGTTTTTGCCTATGTCCAATTTTATATTGAATTTAATTTGTAAGATTACATATTTATCTAAATATATATATTGGTGNTTTGTTTGGTTGGCTGTAGCCATACCATCTTTTAAATGATAAATCTCAAATTTTTCTTGCAGGTGATTTGAAGCGTATTTGTGAGACAGATCTTGGTCTTGTTTCCCAGTGCTGTTTGACTAAGCACGTTTTCAGGATGAGTAAACAGTATTTAGCTAATGTGGCGTTGAAGATAAATGTGAAGGTTGGTGGGAGGAATACGGTGCTTGTTGATGCAATATCTAGGCGCATACCTCTAGTCAGTGACCGACCGACTATAATTTTTGGAGCTGATGTTACCCATCCTCACCCTGGAGAGGATTCCAGCCCGTCTATTGCAGCCGTATGTTCTTTAAATTTTCTCTGATTCAGTTTCATGATGGTGTTATCATGTGTTCACCTTAGTTCAACCACAATTTTTGTTAATTAAAACTTTCTCTGAATTTAAAACAGGTTGTGGCTTCTCAAGATTGGCCAGAGGTCACAAAGTATGCTGGATTGGTTTGTGCTCAAGCTCATCGCCAGGAGCTCATCCAAGATTTATATAAGACATGGCAGGATCCTGTAAGAGGGACAGTGTCCGGTGGCATGATCAAGTATGATTGACCTCTCTTTTACACATGTATTGGTTGTTCAGTTTGTTTTCTTCTATGGGTTTGTCGTTGAGCAGTGCTTATGTTTGATGGATGGAAGCAATATTGAATACTGATCGCTTTTTGAAGTTGGTTATTGTTTTGCTTTTTTTTTTTTTTTTTTTTTTTTAATTATAAATTTCCTTACATTCTCTCTTTGGTGTGATCTAGGGAACTTCTTATTTCTTTCCGTAGAGCAACTGGGCAGAAGCCACAGCGCATAATCTTTTACAGGCATTTTCGTAGTCCTGCTGCTGTCTGTTTTCCTGTTACTTTTTCTTGCTATGACCACTGATGTACTTGTGTAACTTCAGGGATGGTGTCAGTGAAGGGCAGTTCTATCAAGTATTGCTCTATGAACTAGATGCTATTCGTAAGGTAAGGTTTCTCTGTTTGATGACTTCCAAATTCCAGCTCCCTGTATGGTATTTGCTTAAATCAACGAACTTCTGAAATTAAATATATCTGCTTATAAATTTCCCCTTTTGTTGGACTTAATTTCAGGCATGTGCTTCCTTGGAACCAAACTATCAGCCTCCTGTGACTTTCGTTGTGGTTCAGAAACGTCACCACACAAGGTTGTTTGCCAACAACCATCATGACCGGAATGCAGTTGACAAGAGTGGGAATATATTGCCTGGTTAGTAACTCTGGTTTGATAATTTGATTTGATTTGATATTTATCATTGTTGCAGAGATTTTTTTATTTTATTTTATACGACCTAAAGTTCTCAATCTTATGAATCCTGCAGGTACTGTTGTGGACTCCAAAATTTGTCATCCAACTGAATTTGACTTTTACCTCTGTAGCCATGCTGGAATACAGGTTAGATATCTTTTCTACTCCTATGTACTTGGCATGCTGCATTGCAGATTTGATTCTAATATACCTACTTGACAAACAGGGTACAAGCCGTCCAGCTCATTACCATGTACTGTGGGATGAGAACAAATTTTCTGCTGATGGACTACAGTCCCTCACAAACAACCTTTGCTACACGTAAGTCGATAAATGAATAATTCAGTTGCAGCTGCATTATAAAAAATTTGGGCTCAAGGTGTCAAAGATGTAACTTATAGTTTCATTTTATCCTAAGATAATGACACTAAACTGTAATTTGGTATGTTCTGATTTCTGCAGATATGCGAGGTGCACACGTTCTGTTTCCATTGGTAAGCATTTCCCCCTGCAGTCTCTCTCACAGACACGGATGCACACAGATACACCCTTGTGCATGCTATCTCAAATTTTCGGTTCTGCATTTGTTGATGTTAATTTCTGTTGTTACTTTGACAGTTCCACCGGCATACTATGCCCATCTTGCTGCATTCCGAGCTCGTTTCTACATGGAACCAGAGACATCAGATAGCGGTTCAATGACAAGTGGCACTGCTGCCGGACGCGGAGGCATGGGTGGAGGGGCAGCTGCCAGGAGCACTCGAGGACCCGGTCTTAGTGCTGCTGTTAGACCGCTTCCTGCCCTGAAGGAGAATGTCAAGAGGGTTATGTTCTACTGTTAGGCCTTTTTAAAAACCTTAAAAAATAAGTAGACATCTGCTATGTTCCGTGGCTGTGAGAGCCGTTTGGAAACTGGTTCTGAAACTCTACTGTTTTGCTTTGTAGCTGTCTGACATTTGCTACTGGTGTGCCAAAATGTCCCTAAATATTTAACTTCTGGATACATTTCCCATCTGGGTTCCGTAGAAAAACAAATGCAAGGTTTGGGGCATTTTTAAAAATCATCTGAAAATGTTATGGTTAAATATTAAAAAGCACAATGTAAAATTGTAAATACGTTATTGTCCATTACGTAAGTGTGTAAACGGCCACGGGGAAATGTGAATAGGTTACATAAAGATTTAAGGCTAGAAATTGTAACAGCGTTAACGCTTAAGACGTTAATTAATGCTGACGCCGTAATTGGCTGTAACTGCACACCTTACTTAACCGTAACGGCATACACCATTAAAAACGCTGACGGCGTACGGCGTTAAATAACGATGACGCTAATGATCAAAGACGTTATATCAGCGTCACTGAGAAAGAATAGTAACGGTAATTTCATACCACATCAATTACTTCTTCTTGGTATGCAGGGATGGTGCGAGGGCAATTCTACTTGTCTATTTCTTCCTTTGTTCAACATAATTTCTGGCATGGCTCTCTGGTTCGATAATTTATTTTGATTTTCCTTTGTTCAACATTGCCCAAATGTGTTATATTGATTTTCCTTTGTTCAACATTGCCCAAATGTGTTATATTTCTGGCATGGTGTAGGACTTGCTGAATACCATATTGTTTCTATGAAGTTTTCAATGCCCTAGTTTTGTGATATTGTTGGTCATATCATATGTAACTCATATATATTAACACTGGATTATCTGGGCAGATTTAAGTTTGCTGCTGATGAACGATTACTGTGATTAATTTATCAGAAGTCCTTTTTTTTCTCTTACCCAAATCGAGGGACAAACAGCCAGCTTCAGCATCAAAAGTTTAAGCTTTAAGTTGCTAAAGATATCACTTCTGGTTTCATTTTAGCCCAAGATTATGGCACAAAACTGTGAGTTGGTATGTTCTGATTTTTTGTTGAGGTTATCTCTTGTAACTTGACAGTTCCATAGGCATACTATTCATTTTGCTGCGAGCTCGTTTCTACATAGAACCAGAGACATCAGAGAGCGGTTCAACAATAAGCGGTAGTACTGTAAGGCACGGTGGAGGGGCAGATGCTAGGAGCACTTCTTCAAGTCCCCTTCTTGGTGTTGCAAATTAGACTGCTTTCTGCCTTAAAGGAGAATGTCAAGAGGGTTATATGTAAGAAACTTACTTGCAATCTAAACAAAAAATACAAAGAATACAATGTTCTTAGACTATAAACCAAGAATCAAGAATTACCTCCAGCCATTGAAACAAACTTACGAAGCTGTATTTTGGCTTTTTTAAGCTCTCAAGACACTCTAATATTGATGGTGTATTTTGTTTTAGTTGACTACTTGAGCTTAGGGACCAAAACATTACATATAGTCAAGCTTCCATCAAGCTCTTAATAGCATTGCTTAGTGGCTGCCATAAATCCCAATCAAGGGCTAAACAAAAACATTTGAAAAACTGAAGCAACAAATGTGGATCATTAATCTTTAAAACTGATTTGTATTTAATGAAAATCAATTATCAACATTACATGAGTAACGTTGGTGAACATAAGTTTTATATTCTCCCACTTGGTCTACATTTTTAACCATTATTTCATTAAGAAACAAATACACGAATTATGGTGACAGGTCCTCAAAAACGAGTATTATCTTTCATCTATTACAATGCATTTGATTTCTTAAGTTTACTTTATATATGGCAACCTTACTTAATGAATAAACCCTATGTTTATTCTTGGTCCTACAGATGAATTTTCTCAAATGATATTAAGGTGCACATGAATATGAGAAAACATCACAATAAATAAGAGTTTCATTCAAACATTGTATATACAACTACATAGTGGAATGAGGTCCCATTTTTTCTACATGATCCTTGAATTTTAATGGTGGCATGCCTTTGGTCAAAGGATCAACGATCATCAATTCAGTACTTATGTGCTCAATGACCACTTTCTTTTCCTTAAGACATTCTCTTATGGCTAAGTACATAATGTCAATGTGTTTACTTCGACTTTGACTTTTGTTTTTTTTAGCTATAAAGACAGTAGCTGAATTATCGCAGTATATTCTCAATGGTTTAGAAATGGAATCCATAATTTTAAGCCCAGATATGAAACTCTTTATCCATACACCATGTGAAGTAGCCTCAAAACAGGAAACAAACTCAGCTTCCATAGTGGAAGTAGTAGTTAAGGACTGCTTACACTTCTCCAAGATACAGCTCCACTAGCCATTATGAAAACATATCTTGATGTTGATTTGCGTGAATCAACACAACCAGCAAAGTTTGAATCTGAATAACTGATTACTTCTAGATTGTTCGTCTGTCTATATATAAGCATGCAGTTTTTGGTTCCTTGAAGGTACCTCATCACTTTCTTTGCAGCTCTCCAGTGGTCTATACCTAGATTACTTTGATATCGTCCCAACATTCCAACAACAAATGCAATGTTAGGCCTTGTATAGACCTGAGCATACATTAGGCTTCTGACAACAGAAGTATATGAAATGTTCTTCATTTGTTCCCTCTCAAAATCGTTCTTCGGGCATTGGTTCAAATTGAACTTATCACCCTTCACAACGGGAGCCACACTTGGTGAACAATCTTTCATCCGAAATCTCTCTAAAACCTTATTGATATAGGTTTCTTGAGACAGACCCAAGATACCTCATAATCTGTCTCAATGGATGTTGATGCCAATGACATAAGATGCCTCACCCATATCCTTCATAACGAAATTTTTAGAGAGGAATTGTTTTACCTTATGTAGCAAACCCTTATCATTGGTTGTAAGCAAAATATCATCCATATATAAAATAAGAAAGCATACCTTACTCCGACTAACCTTCTGGTATATACATTGATCCATGGGGTTTTCAATGAAACTGAATGAAGTAGTTACCCCATGGAATTTAAAATACCATTGGCAGGATGCTTGTTTTATACCGTATATAGATTTCTTGAGCTTACAAACCAAGTGATCACCATCACTAGAGGAAAATCCTTCAGGTTGTTTCATATAAACCTCCTCCTCTAGGTCTCCATTGAGAAATGCCATTTTTACATCCATTTGTTGTAACTCACAGTCAAAATGGGCTACCAATGCCAATATGATGCGTAAGGAATCTTTCTTAGATACAGGAGAAAAAATCTTTGTATAGTCGATTCCTTCCTTTTGAGTGAATCACTTAGCAACAAGTCTTGCCTTGTAACTCTCTATGTTGCCTAATGAGCCTTTCTTTGTCTTAAAGACCCATTTACATCCAATGGCTTTTACATTATCAGACAACTCAACAAGATCCCAAACTTCGTTACTCTTCATGAAACTTATCTCTTCCTTCATGACATTGTACCATAATTCTGACTCTTTGCAACTCATGGCCTGTGAAAAAGATTCGGGATCACTCTCGGCTCCAGTATTACAGTCAGATTCTTGTAGGTACACTACATAATCACTAGGAATGGCTAACCTCTTAGTTCTAGTGGATCTCCTTAATATTATATCATTATCTTCATGACAAGCTTGTGGTTCAATTGGATGTTCAGAAGGTTCTGGTAATTCCTGAATTGCTTGATCCACTGGAACATTGTCAGCAGCTTGTGGAACTTCAATAATTGGTTGTTCCATACCGATTTGTACTTGAGGGGTGTTATGAACTATGACCAATTTATCACTTGAGGTGAAAGGGCAAGAATCTAAATGATCATGTTCAGGAACATTGTTTCTGATTTGATCGCTCGCACTAATCAAGTCATACTCAAGAAAGATAGTGTTTCTTGATTCTACAATCCTAGTGTTGTGAGATGGACAATAAAATCTATACCCCTTAATGGTCATTGGGTCTAACCTATTCTCTTGTGGATTATAGATTCTCACCTTAGATGGGCACCCTCAAACGCGCATATGTCGCAAACTTGGTTTCCAACCTTTCAATAATTCAAATGGCGTTTTTGGGATAGCCTTGGTTGGAACTCGGTTTAATATATACACAGCTGTCTTAAATGCTTCAGTCCACAATGACTTAGGAAGATTGGAGTTGCTAAGCATACTCCTCACCATGTCCAATAATGTTTAGTTTCTTCTTTCTGCCATACCATTTTGGTTCGGTGAACCAAGCATGGTATTGGGCAACTATCCCATGTTCTTGAAGAAACTTAGCGAACAGACCAGGTGCTTGTCCAATCTTAGTGTATCTACTATAATACTCACCACCTCTATTTGATCTCACTATCTTAATTTGCTTTCCGCATTGTTTCTCTACTTCAACCTTAAATGTTTTAAACGCATCTAATGATTCGTTCTTGTTATGAAGTAAGTAGAGATACATATATCGTGAGTAGGGATGGACACAAAGCCCGGCCCCGAACGGGGCAGATTTTCCTCGAATTGTTCAGGCTTTGGGCCGGGATCAGGCCCAAGATTGGCCCCAGAATTTGGGGACGGGCGGGGGCCGGGATAGGTTTTGTTCCGGCCCGTATATTATATATATATATTAATTTTAATAATTGAAAATCAATCATATATACCTATAATAATTTTAATAATTGAAAATCAATCATATATACCTATAATAATTTTAATATTTGAAAGTCAATTATACATTATACAATGACAAATTATAATTGCGTAAATATTTTATGAAACTATATACAAATAGTTAATAAATAAGACTAGATTAAATATAATAAATCATTATGAATAAATAAATAAATATATAATATGTTAATGCTATGAAACAAAAGTTATACATTCGACATTATATATTATACATTATATATGGTATACATTTGACATTGTACATTATACATTATACATTGTGTATTAGTATGATGGTTTTTATATTTAATATGTATGCGCAATATAGATTTAATTTTTTTTTTTGATGATATAGTCTTTACGATTAATATGTATATTATATATTTAATTTTTTTTTTGGTTGATATATACAATTTGGAGAAAAGGATAATAAAACTAAGGATACAAAAATACAAAAAACCCCTAAACAGGGAATCCTCGAATTCCCCGTTTGGGGAACAGGCTTTTTTCGGGGATTCTCCGAATTCCCCGAACGGGCTTTGGGCCGGGATCAGGGAATCCCCTTGGGCTTTTGGTCGTGAGTAATCATCAATAAAGGTGATGAAGTATCTCTGACCATATGAGTCCATGTCTGGACTATATATATTAGTATGTATGATTTCTAATATGTCCAAACTCCTACTGGCACCTTTCTTAGATTTGTTGGTCTGCTTTCCCTTAATGCAGTCCACACATGTTTCAAAATCAGTGAAATCTAGAGTACTAAGTACACCATCATTTATTAATCTCTTAATTCTATCTATGGAGATATGTCCTAATCTCTGATGCCATAACATAGAGGAGTCCTTGTTAATAATACACCGCTTAGACCCAGTGTGAACATGCATTGAATTATAAGTGATATTGTCTTGCAAATTAATAAGATAAAGACCATTAGACAAAATACCATTCCCAACACAATTAGAATTATAAAATAAACTGAATGATGTGTTTGAAAAATTAAAGGAATAACCCAAAAGTACAAGTCTAGAAACTAAAATCAAGTTTTGTGAAAAACTTGGAACATAGAAGGTCCTATCTAATTCTGATACAAAACCATTACTTAAAGTTAACATACATGTTCCTATGGCCTCCACATGTGAGCCCATCTTGTTTCTAGATAAGATGCTTTGCTTACTTCCCATTTGTTTCCTTAGATTTTGCATACCCTACAAGGAGTTTGCAATATGGATTGTAGATCTAGAGTCAATGCACCAGGTGTTAATATTAACATTAACCATATTAGATTCATAACAAACAAACGAGGTTGGATTACCTTTATTCTGAAGCCATTTCTGAAATTTGGGGCATTCTTTCTTCATGCGTCCCTTCTTTTTACAGAAGAAACATTTGGCCTCTTTCATGATATGCTTGGGGTGGTATTTTACCTTTCCCCTTTTGATTGGCTTGAGGTTTGCCTTTCCCGCGTGTTGTTGCTAGTGTTGCACTTTCACCAAGCTCCATCACAAGCCTCCCTTCTTCTTGAACACACATGGTCATTAATTCATTGATTGACCATTTGTTCTTATGTGTGTTGTGCGAGATTTTGAATGGCCCATATTATTGTGGGAGGCTGTTCAGGATATAGTGCACCTGGAAGGATTCAGACATCTCAACCTCAAGTTTTTTAAGTTGAGCCGCAATGTCCCTCATATTCATGATGTGCTCACGCACACCTTTCACGTTGGTGAGTCTGATGGATGAAACTTCATGATTAGGGTGCTTGCCAGTGCTTTATCTGAAATGATAAATTGATCATCAATGGCTTTCAGCAAGTCCCAGCCCTTTTCATGCTGGTCGACAGAACCACGTATACTAGCAGAAATTTTAGTCTTAATGAACATCACGCTGAGGCTATTAGATCTCTCCCATCGTTCATAAAGTGTGATGTCCGCTGGAGTGCTGGTATCAGTGATAGCTGGTGGTTCATCTTTCCTAATAGCATAGTCAATATCAATCTCCTAAATGGAAGAGAATTCTCTCATTCCATAACTTATAGTTATCACCTTTCAATTTAGGGATATCGTAACGAATATCAGAGAAATTAGCAGGTTATGAAGCTGCATTAATTAAAATTGCTTATGTCAAAATTTGAGGTCTAATAATTTTCATGTTTTACCAATGCAAAACATGTAAGAATTGAATCTAATGACATAAAATTTGCCTGTGGGCTTAAATTTTAATTCAAGTAGATTCATGTATAGCCTATGATAGAATCATCAAATTATGTTCTTAATTCATAATTAGTGGGTATATTATGAAAGTAATTTGATATTCTATCTTAAACTTATGATAAAACTATCAAATTATGTTCCTCCTCCTAATTCTTGTGGGTAAATTAAGAAATATAATTTGATATTCTATCCTAATTAATTATATAAATATAACAAAAATATCATGTTGGATAAAATTTATTATATTAAGTATAATTAATTACAATTAATGTCTATAATTCTTTACGTGATCCTAAACAATTATAATATATAATTTTATTTAACTAAAGATGTTGTGGCTAATCCCTAGTTAATTAAAATTATATAGATCACAAGACATTATAAATTTAAGTTTTATGAGAATATTTCTCTAGCATAAGAAAATTCAAGATAAGAATAAATTGTATAATTCAATCGACAACTAACATGTTATTATTATGCATAAAATATTCGCATAAAATATTGCATAACATTAAATTTCATGCTTTTATCCATATATACTCATTCAAAAATTGCATGTATTAATTTAGAAAAGATATAATCAATTCATGAAAAATAAATATGAGCATAATTAATTTAAGATTTTGCACAATTTAACTTATCCAAAAATGCATTTGATTAAACCAAAATTAATATAACATGCATAATTAAAATGAGCAAAATTAGACATAATATAAATTTATTTTACCAATCAAATGACAAAAACGCTAAATGGCCTGTATGGCTCGGTACCATGCTTCTTTACTTGGAGATCATGTGTTCAAATCCCAGAACTGTTAGATTAAAATTTTTTTTTTATTGACAAGTAAACGACATGTCGTTTTCAAGACTTAAGGAAAACTGACATGTCATTAATCTTGGGATCTAGTCATCTTCAACCTTTGATCGGGTCTGAAACTGGATACCAGACCCGAAAACGACTCAGTATCCAAACCCAGGTGGGAATCCACCATTCAAATGCTAAAATGATTGTTTCAAAGCCCATAAATGATAGAAATCCAATTTCCTAATAATTTCTAACATTTATTTGCATTAAAAACAACTAAAAAACAAACTTTGATTTAAAAAAAAAAAAAAAATTCAAACGGTCATGAGCAGAGAGCTTCCAAAATTTCTTTTGCAAAACATCAAGGCAGAGGTATTATAAAACTCTGATACCAACTATAAGCAACTTATCTGCAATCTAAACAAAAAATACAAAGAATACTATATTCTTATACTATAAACCAAGAATCAATGATTACCTCCTGCCATTGAAACAAACTCATGAAGCTGTATTTTGGCTCTTATAAGCTCTCAAGACACTCTAATATTGATGGTGTATTTTGTTTTAGTTGAATACTTGAACTTAGGGACCAAAACATTATATATAGCCAAGCTTCCATTAAACTCTTAATGACATTACCTAATGGCTGTCATAAATCCCAATCAACGGCTAAACAAAAACATTTAAAAAACTGAAACAACAAATATGGACTATTAATTTTTAACACTGATTTATATTTAACGAAAATTAATTATCAACGTTACTCATTGAACATAAATTTTACATTATATTCTACCGTGAGTCCTATAAAACCCCACTAAAAGAAAAGACATTTGCTATGTTCTACTGCTGTGAAAATGCCTTCGAAAAATGACTCTGAATTTAATGAATGGATAAAATATACATTTCTTATTTCATAAAACATTTTAATAATTTAATAATTAAAAATATATATTATTAAAAAGTAATAAGAAATTAATCGTTGCTCAATTTTACTTAAGAGTAACAAATCTTGCCATTGCCAGTCCATACCTGTAATGTCAGAAGTTTGAATTTTACTAGAAACAACTCGTAACTAGAGGCATCCTATGAACCTTGAAACGGGGATTAGCTGTATACTTATGTGTGTGGAGACACCTCATGGTTAACACAAAAATAAAAAAATACTAACAGACCTTTTAGAATATATTATTTCAAGTCACATTTATATTCCTTAATAAATTTCTCAAAAATGGTTTAAGTGATAGCATACTGATGAAGTAGGAAAAGCATAAAGTAGTAGTCCATCTCATAGGCAAAAAAATGTCCATAGAAAGAATTCTTTTTGTCCCTATGGTTTTGATCCATTATATTTAACAACATTTGTTTCAAATACTAACATTTTGATCCTTTAATTTAACATACCATTAGTTGATAGCTAGTTGACCACCACTAATTAATTTGGAAATTATGCAAAAATGAAAAAAAAAAACCCTCATAAGAAAATAGCAAAAAATATTTACACAAACAACATTAATGTGTAATTGTTAGGGCCAAAAATCGTCTTGGGCTTGACGGGGCTCACTAACGAAATAAACATATCACGGCCCAAGGCCTCAACCCAATCTCGATTGGGCCCACGCTTAAAATCACCTTGCGACCTACCCACTCTATAAGTTGGGCTATCCTATAAATTAAGCTAAACTGGGTTTCAGCCCATTAGCCTGCAACAGAGTATAAACAGGAAATCAGAATCTCATTCTATTTCCTCTTCTACTAAAATTTCAAATCTCACTCAAACTATTAAACTTGATCTGATAAGGTCAAGAAATCATATCTCTTTCATGATAGGGATTATCTCCCAAAATAGGACTTAGTGTCCTACTAAGATTCCAATTCTTATTTAAACTATTAAACTTAATCTGATAAGGTTAAGAAATCATATCTCTTTTATGATAGGGATTATCTCTCAAAAGAGGACTCAATGTCCTACTAGGATTCCAACCCTTTAGGTTCACTATAAAAACAGAGGCTTGCCCTCTCATTAAGGAGGCAATCTCTCACAGTCAATCTACACCACTCAAAACCATCTATTTGCTCCTAAGTTCTTGCTCCCAAGAACCCGACGCCTCCGCCGTAGTCCTAGTCTCCGACAAGACTCCTGGTAATTCTTCTTCTCCTTAATTCTTATTAAATCTCTTTCAGCCTTGCTGACTTGAGCGTCAGAGTGCCTACGGCAAACACCACCTCGGTGTTTTCCGGAAGCTTCACGCTTGCACTTTCATGTGTGCAGGTCTAACGGATTGTCAGTGACCTCAACCTCACGGGATCACACCCTATTTTCATGACGGTAGATTTTTTGCATCTACAGTAATGTGTTTGTTTAGTAACTTTAACGGGAATCGTTCAAATTACATTAATACTGTCAGTGAAATGCATTTTTCATCATTATTATTATTTTATAATTTTCAAGTTAATTAACAATCAACTAACGTTTATAAAAACATTTGTTAAGTCAATGGACAAAGATACTAGTATTTAAAACAAGGTCCTTAACAGATAAAATTGAAATATAGGGACTAAAATGTAATTATCTCAAAAGAAATATTCACATGTTTCCCATGAATTTCTTTCCTTCCAAGTTTAAAAGATATAGTGAAAAAGGCAAAGGCAAATCCACCAATCAAAACAAATTCTTTTTCTTGCCTTCAATCTTTCTTTCTTTCTCCCAATGTTGGTACCAAAGAATGTTCCTTGTCCATTTCACCCAATTTGGTCATTAGTAGAACTCACATTTGATCAATTATTATTTTATTTTTTGACCTTTTCCCCCCTCTCTATATATAAATCTTAACACAAACAACCCCACCACACAACACCTTTGTGAATCCATAATCTTTTCTGTCTCTCTTTCTTTCAAGTATCTTTGAACCATTTTTTTTTTGTTGCAATGGCTTCTGCCTCCCCTGCCCTCAAGCGTTCTGATTCAATTGCAGATGGTATGCCTGATGCCCTGAGGCAGAGCCGCTACTACATGAAGAAATGCTTCGCCAGGTATAATTTTAATTACTTCTTTCATGCACTGGCAGGTCCAATGGGGGTCAGGGGAGGCATTTGCCCCCTATGAAATTTGAAAACTTAAAATAAATTTAGAGTAGATGATATTTTTACTGCACTGATAGCGAAATAATTATGTTATATGTATCGTTTTCAAGTCCATCGTGGTTCTTATTTATGCATGCACATGTTCTTTCGTTCATTCCCTGGAGTTTAAATACCATGTAATAAAAATTTGATATTGTTCTTGATTTTTCTTGAGAAAAGGTATGTTGCAACTGGAAACAAGTTGATGAAACGCCAACAATTGATGGATGAATTGGAGAAAGTTATTGAAGATGAGCTTGAAAGAAGCAAAGTCTTGGAAGGATTACTTGGCTACATTCTCAGTACTACTCAGGTATCAAATTCTTGCGTAAAATTACATATACAAACTCTTATATACGTAAATATATTAAAAAGAATGGTTGAGTACTAATTCATGGAAGCGTGGTTTTTTTTTTTTTTTTTTTTTTTTTAATTAAAAAATTTGCAGGAGGCAGCTATTGTTCCACCTTATGTTGCTTTAGCAGTGAGACCTAATCCAGGATTCTGGGAATTCGTCAAGGTGAATGCTGACGATCTGTCTGTGGATAATATCACTAGTGTGGATTACTTGAAGTTCAAAGAAATGATTTTCGACGAGAATTGGTATGTTTTTCATATTTGAAAACGATGTTTGTATCATAAGAAAGTGCATAACCTTATCGACTGATTCAACGATAGGTTAAAGTTATTGAGCTCGTAACTTTTATCGACCCTTGATAACTATTGGATTCAAATCAAGATTTTGATTTTCACATGCAGGGCACAGGATGAATACGCTTTGGAAATAGATTTTGGAGCTATGGACTTCTCAACTCCTCACTTGACAATTTCTTCTGCAATTGGAAATGGACTCAGCTACATCTCAAAGTTCACATCCCCAAGGCTTAGTGGGAGCTCTTATAAAGCAAACCCTCTGTTGGATTATCTTCTAGCTCTTAATCATAGAGAAGAGGTAAATGCAAATGAAGAATCTAATATTTTAAAATAATAAAAAAGATTTAAATGCTGGAAACTGATGAGAATTTTGAATTTGATAACCTGCAGAAACTTATGATTGATGAAACCATTAATACAGTTGACAAGCTTCAGGCAGCTCTGATAGTGGCTGAAGTTTTAGTCTCTAGTTTTCCGAAAGATACACCGTATCAGAATTTCCAATCGAGGTTATATGTCCTAATATAAATTCCATTAACATATGTCCATGGAACACGCGTTATCAGAAACATCTTTGCTGACTGGTAATGTGATTTGCAGGTTGAAAGAGTGTGGAATTGAGAAAGGATGGGGGGATACTGCAGAAAGAGTTACAGAGACAATGAGGATGTGTTCTGAAATACTCCAAGCCCCAGACCCTGTGAAATTTGAGGCTTTTTTCAGCAGGCTCCCCAACATATTCAATATTGTAATCTTCTCCCCTCATGGTTTCTTTGGGCAATCAGATGTTCTTGGATTGCCAGACACTGGAGGCCAGGTGGGTAGTACACACAATTTCGTCTCGATTTGTTAAACAAACATAAGATGCATTGATACGATTTTCAATCTGTATCGATAGAGTTTTGACACCAAGAGTCTTTCTTAAACTAAGCGATATATATAAGTTAATATGATTCTTAATGGAACAACAGGTTGTTTACATTCTTGATCAAGTAACTGCTATAGAAGAAGAATTGCTCCTCAGGATTAAGCAGCAAGGACTCAATGTGAAGCCTCAGATTCTTGTGGTGAGCAACAAATGCAGAATTTGATTATGATCTTTCACTCCAAGGATGATACTAAAACTAAGCATTAGATGAAAAGTGTTCATACTTATTTCTCTTGTTTCAATTTTGTATAGGTAACTAGACTAATACCAGATGCTAAGGGCACTAAATGCAACCAAGAGTGGGAGCCAATCTTCAACACAAAGCACTCCCACATTCTCAGGGTCCCGTTTAGGACAGACAAAGGGATTCTACCTCAATGGGTTTCCCGTTTTGATATCTATCCTTATCTTGAGACTTTTGTCCACGTATGTGCCTTTATTGTCTCCAAAATTTCAGCCTTTTATTTTTTAATTTTTATGGGAAAAATTTACTTACCTTACTCAGTTGTCGTTCATATTTAATGAATTATGAGTTCAATACATCTAGTTTTGTAGCAAGACAAATATTCCTCACTTAATCTCAGACAATCACTTACTCACAAAATTTTTTCTGACATTATTAGTTTTCATTGCCCATCACATAGAAAACCATTTTCGTTCTCCCTAAAGCTATCCCCCTCGGGGGTATTTTAGTGTTAAAGTTCTAGAAGAACTGGACACTCCAATTTGGTCAAACACCTAACAACCAACTCCTATGTACGTTTGATTACAGTATTTCTAAACAAGTTCTTGAGCTATTATACTTATTTTACTCTCAATACCAGGATGCTACTGCAAAGATCCTGGAATTCATGGACTGCAAACCAGACCTGATCATTGGCAACTATAGTGATGGAAACTTGGTGGCATCTCTAATGGCTGCAAAACTTGGAGCAACTCAGGTTCAAACCATCTCTAGCTAATGGTTTTTCATGCTTCAAATTGATCAATTATCATTATAGTAGTTGTTCTAATCAAGTTTTGCCTGCTCTAAAACCAGGGGACTATTGCTCATGCTTTAGAAAAAACTAAGTATGAAAATTCAGATGCCAAATGGAAGGAATTAGATCCGAAGTACCACTTTTCATGTCAATTCACAGCTGACTTAATTGCAATGAATGCAACTGATTTTATCATAACTAGCACATACCAAGAAATCGCTGGAAGGTTAGTCTGTTACATTACCTCATGTACCCTGAAGGCTTCAGAAGAATTTACATTGTCTGAAATGTTGACAAAGCTGTTTCTTTTCCAGCAAGGAAAGGCCTGGACAGTATGAAAGCCATATATCATTTACCATGCCGGGGCTTTGTCGGGTAGTCTCGGGCATCAATGTCTTCGATCCAAAGTTCAACATAGCGGCCCCTGGGGCTGATCAATCTGTCTACTTTCCCTACACGGAGAGACAAAGGCGGCTGACAGAATTTCATCCTGCCATTGAAGAACTGCTCTACAACAAGGAGGACAACAATGAGCACATGTAAGTCATCCAGTTTCTTTCATCTGATGCATTAAGCATTAATAAGTAATTGAAAAATGGTTCTAATGGTCTACCATGAAACTAACAATATGCTTGGACAGTGGATATCTGGAAGACAGGAAGAGACCAATAATATTCTCCATGGCAAGACTGGACACAGTGAAAAACATTACAGGACTGACTGAATGGTATGGGAAGAACAAGAGGCTGAGAAGTTTGGTGAATCTTGTTGTTGTGGCTGGATTTTTTGATCCAGCCAAATCAAATGACAGAGAAGAAATCGCAGAGATTAACAAGATGCATGCCTTGATTGAGAAATACCAACTCAACGGTCAGTTTAGATGGATAGCGGCTCAAACTGATAGATATCGCAATGGAGAGCTGTACCGCTGCATTGCAGATACAAAGGGAGCTTTTGTGCAGCCTGCACTGTATGAGGCTTTTGGTCTGACTGTCATTGAGGCAATGAACTGTGGGTTACCCACTTTTGCAACCAATCAAGGAGGTCCAGCAGAAATTATTGTTGATGGCATCTCAGGCTTCCATATAGATCCGAACAATGGCGATGCATCGAGCAACAAGATTGCTGACTTTTTCGAAAAATGCAAGACAGATGCTGGATATTGGAACTTGATGTCAGCTGCTGGTCTTCAGCGTATATATGAATGGTAATAATATGACACCAGGTTTTGTAAGTAACCAACCATTGAGTTTTCCATCTAATATGAAAATGTGTTGCCTTGCAGCTATACATGGAAGATTTACGCAAACAAAGTGCTGAACATGGGATCTGTTTATGGATTTTGGAAGCAACTGAACAAGGAACAGAAGCTAGCTAAACAAAGATACATCCAAATGCTCTACAATCTCCAGTTCAGGAAATTGGTGAGTTTGTTTAGCCAATTACTACAGAATTGTTCAAGTCATAGATATCAATGTTTCTAATTTTCATAAGCTACTTGCAGGCAAGGAATGTGCCCATCAAAATACCTGAACATCAAGTAGCGTCCATCCCAACTCCCGTACCCCAGAAATCTGCGCCAACTGGAACAGTTCATATCCCACGACCACCAAAATTGAGGAAACCTAAACCTCAACTACCAGCACTAACAGTAATGGATAAGCTCAAGCAACCATCAACAGTTCATCCAGAAAAAAGGCATGTCAGCAATCTCAGATTGATTAATAAACTTGTAGTTACTCAACATGACTAAGTATGAGCTGAACTGAAACACAATATCCAGAGAAAAAAAAAAAAGTAAATAAATAAAAGAAAAGAAACTAAAATAACAAATGCATTATTCCATTCTTTATTAAATCATGAAATCTTACTACCAAGTGCCTGATAATGTAGATCTATCTTTTACTAATTAAATTAAACCTGTTTTTGTTACCATCTTGGTTGAATGCTGAACCCAAACTGGGTATACTGTTCTACAACTTTTGTGCTCACGACATTTTGGTTCACAGGAAAGAAGACGTAGAGCAGAAACCGAGTAGCTCTGTACAAAGGAGTCGTCTATACAATGCTGGGAGTCAGTCATTCTTGATGATTGGTTTTCTTCTCATCATTTATTACCTTCTGAAGAAATTGTATTGCCAGTTTATGTAATGAAAAGATAAATGTATGACGAAGAGAATAAGATTAAACAAGTCATTTAATTTGTAAACACTTCTGAATGATAATAAGACATCTGAACCTTATTCATTAAAGAAGTTTAAAGTGTTACTAAGCTGCTCAAACTCTTAAAAACAGTGCAAAAATGACTTCAATTTTGAGAGGCTAACTGATGTTTATGGAGCCCTAGTAGCATAATATGGTATGCAAATAGTAAAAAACATCTCTAAAATCCACTGGTAACTAACACTAACTTATGCTAGCTGATAAGTGGGAATCACTTAGCTCATCCCAGTTTCCAGAAAATATTTTTTTGTGCCCTTCCTGCTGTCTTTGTATTCCTTTGCTCACTTCTTGAGCCTGTCAACCAGGGCAAAATTATGAATATTTCTTTAAATAGGAGAGCTGCTGGATTTTTCTCAGGTTCCAGCAGCTTGAGGCAAGGAGATCCGCTCTCTCCTTTTTTCTTAACCATTGCTGCAGACTTCCTTAAACTCATTTCCCTCAATAAACCATTAATTTAAGAACAGATTATAATCAGGTATATAATATATACTAATATATCAAAATCGAGAAGTTAGCTCTGTGTTTGCGAGTGCACGCTTTTAACGATGACAGTTTTATACATATTTAACACTAAAATGTAAAAATAATAGGAGAAAAACCTAACTGAATAAAAAAATCTACACATTGTAAGATATGATAAGCAGTTGTCACAAACACAAGCTAACTCCAGTTTCACAAAATTTCTTCACATCATTCTCTTATCTTTTAATAACAAGTACAAGAGGATGATCTTAGCCTAAGGAAACATTAGTTCTTTGGGATTGCTAAACGCAGCAAATGAAACATCTTCAGACTAGTTTATTCAATACTCAGTATTGTGCTTGCTTCTAAATAAATCTAGCAAAAACACTGAGCACCTACTTATACATGGTACGTAGACACATTACACAATTTATTGGAAATCAGAACATTAAAAGAAGGCTGACTGAAAATAAAATAATTAGTATATATAAATCACGTTCGCTTTTACAGTCTTTAACCGAAAAGAAAAAAACTTGTACAATCTGGACAGCAACCTCCATTTATTTTGTTTTCTCTTCTTCCTTATGGTAGCCACCTCCTTGTCTTGCATAAGGTATAAAGAAAATGATACAAGCAACTATAGGTTGCCCACAGTAAGGCGTTTACCTCACTTTCCACAGCTCAAATTCTGCAGCGCTTAGCATGAACGAACTGGCATTTCGATGTCCTCCGCCTCCAAATTCCTGTATAAGGATTGTATAACAAATTTCAGTACCAAAATTTGAAAGTATTACCTAATTAACAGGTAATAATAAGTATAAGAGGAAATAGTTAACAGGAAGAACCTGTGAAACAGGTGTGGTGTCTTCACTCTCTACACTCCTCAGGCTTATTTTAACCAACTTATCATTTTCAAGCTCTGGTACTCTATAGACAACAGCTCCAATGCCCCTAACAGAATTATGATCTTATATAATATATTATTGATGAATATTTTTATGCATGAGAAGATTCTCATCACAAAGGACAGTATATAGAACAAAGACAAGAAGATATCTGAAAAACAAAACTAACATGATACAAAAAATAACCTGCCCTAGATTACAAATGCATCTCTCTTGTATCCATACTATAGCTTTTATTACTAGTCATTACTTCTTCTGATCCCATCGTCCATTACAAAAAAATTAACTAACTAATTTTGTGTTCAAACGAAATACAATTTAAATCACATAAAAGCCGTGAATTACAGTATGAGGTGAAGCATTTCTTGAATGTATGTAACCTAATGAGCAAAACAAGAATCCACTATATGCATTATCTAATGAACTACCACAAACCTTAAATTTAAATTACGGCTTTTAGTAGCTAACTGGTGCCCCAATTCACTCCTCAATTCAGAAATTGAATCGGCATCAACTGCCTACAAGTAGAAGGATGAAATTAGAGAGTTCTTTCTTATCCATGACTTTGGGTAATAAAATTGCTATATGAAACAGATAAATCCACATCAAGAGTCCTATAGTGTAATATTCATCTTTTCCTCTTATATGTTTAGTAGGGAGCTTCTAATATTGTTAAAATTTGGTTTAATGGGGCTTTAAAATTACTCCAACACTAATTTAGGTAAAGTTATTATTAAGAGTTTGAGCCTTAGTAGGTTGAGAAGAGAGAGAGTGTGTATGTGTAACACTACACTTACAAAGTTGGGATTTTAATGTGGTATCCCAACTGATATGGTTGTTCACGTGGCAACACTTCATTAATTGTAGGTTTTTTTCTTCAATTCAATCATCATCAAAATGATTGAAGTAATCTACAGCCTTTGTTCGCAAAGTTAAACAACCTCTAATTGTAGGTTTTTTCTTGCTTCTACTTAATTCCAAAGCAAGCTCCTTCCATACTTCCTAAAAACCCATATTTTGTGAGTTTTAGCTATTAGGAACAACTTCAATACCCATTTAGCTGCCACCTAAAAAATCTTACACCTAATTCATCAGTTTCCAATTAGTTTTAACCAGTAAGTTATTTGCAGTTTTATTCTCTCCAATAAAATAGCTCCACACTCTCTTTTTACTAATTATGCTTGAAATTACGGCACTTTTGTACCTTTAGTCCACCACATAACAATTCTAAGCAACCGTATGCTATATAATCAACGTAACCAATCCTACATCAAGGTTTAAAAGAAAAAAGAAAAGGTGTGCACGATACCAAGCAACGCCCAAAAGCTCCACTTCCGAGCGCAATTTCATACGACTGATCGAGCGTGTCTTCAATTAATTTTTGCTTGTGAGATAAGCTCACCATTCCTTGTCTGATGACAGACTCCACATCCAAAGAAAGTAACTGCCAAAAGTTGTCATATAATCAATATTTAGGCATCAAGAACCATCTACAGAACTAATGATAATTCATTCCATTTATGGCTCTTTTTTCATTCCCATATAAAAAATGAGAAGAATCAAGCAGAAAAGATACACTACAACTAACCTGGAGAAATTACCTGCTGAAACAAGGAAGGGTTTAATTGAAAATTGTAATCTATATTTAAATCTTTTAACCCAGTACTGAAGGCTTTACTATTCTGAAGTTTCCATTTCCAAAGATCTCCATCTTCAATGTAGTCGAAAAGTAATCTAGCACGCTCTAATACACTTAGCACTTTTTTATCTAAAATTTTTTCCTTGAAATAATCATAAGCAATTGTAGCTCCACTCCTCTTCATATCTATGACTTTAGTCACATTGTCTCCTTCAATTGCAGCCTCAAGTGCAGTTTTATGATGGTCCAGTATCACAACCCTGTACAAAAACATATCAAAGTTATTATGTATGGTTTAAAATTGGAAATTAAATTTATAAAGCTAAGATAAAATCCAAATTTTGAATTGTGTTCTTATATCTTTAATTATTTTTACAAATTTGTCCCATACAGTAATAAAAAACTGTTTTCCTCATAGCCAAAAACCATAAAAAGAGATTTTTGCCATTAGTACTTAGGATTGTACTTCAAGACATTTCAGCTAAACATGCTTTCTTAAAACACTTTCTTTTCCTTGCTTTCAAAAGCAAAGAATTGTATTTAAAGTTTCAAACTTTCTTCTAATCTCCATTAAATCAAACTTGACAACATTAAAAACAAATACCCAGATGCAAACAAAAAACAAAAAACCACACAGCAGGAAATCGCATCTAGAATTGTACATCAAAAAGTTTCAACTAAACATGTTTTCTTAAAACGCTTTCCTTGTTTTTAAAACCAAAGACTTGCATTCAAAGTTTCAAACTTTCTTCCACTCTCTACTGAATCAAACTTTACAAACATAACAAACAAACACCGAGCTGAGAAAACACAAAGCAACTAACCTTGAAACTTTGGGAGCAATTTGCTGCACAAAACCGGGAGGACCCACGAAGTCAAGAAGATAAAGATGATCAATTTCATGCAAAGGAAGCTGTTGCGGCGTAATGGCACCGTAAACTGTATTGGGAAAGAAGAGAGACGGAAGAGAAGAAGTTTTAAAATAGAGGTGAGCGGCAAGAGCGGCAAAAGCGCCGTCGGGGCATGGATAGTGGTAGAGAACCGCCGACTTCTTCATCTCTATCATAGCGTTTGCTATTTCGGCGGTGGCATGTTGGTGGTCATAACCTTGAAGTAAAGTGATAGTTGTCTTTGAACGAGGGTAGTTTTGTTAATAATTAGAGTTTTGGGACTTCTTAAATATAACAAGATACCGTAAGTTTTAAAATCATTGTAAAATTACATGTTTATCCCTCTCAGACTCTCAGTCTCACGTTAATAATCTAACGAAAACCAAAGGGCCGTTTCTTTTATCTTTGAGCTTCTCTTCTGTACCTTGTATTCCCAGAAAAATGGCAGCCAGCTTCGGTTTCGCCATTGTTGCAGCTCCCACCTCTCACAGTGATATTTCCAAAATACCCCTTATTCATCATCTCAAAAGCTCCAGTGCTGCACCAATTACAAAAAAGTCCTCCCCTTCTTTATTATCACTCAGACGTGGCCGTTTCTCTGTCTTGTCTTGTCTCCCTACCCGTCCTTCTTCTTCTTCTTCTTCATCTTCTAGGCCCAAAACAAGGCTTTATGTCAGTGGTGAGTTCTCACTCTCTTTAAATTCTCAGTCTTCCATGTAGAATCATCATAGAGAAACTTCAATATAATTTCTAGAAACGAGTTTTTTTTTTTTTTTTTTTAATTATTGTAATATATTGCATTCAATTCAGCATTATTATAATGATTCTGTGCTAAAATTATAAGGATGTGTATAAAAGTTTATGGATGTACTTAGAAATGAGTGTTCTTTTATGTAAACCAAATAGCTATGTTACCAGTAACACTATTGATAATGCTGTAGGATAGCACGCTTTCGGGTAACATTACTGATAACGCTGTAGGATATCACGTTTTCGGGTAACACTACTGATGATACTGTAGTATAGCGCTTTTCTGGGGAAGGATTAAGCGATAGTTGTAAGATTATCCCTTGATTGGTTACCAAAAAGATGTGCCTTGATTTAGATCCTAGATTGATGGTAAGAACGAAGATTATTGTTTCAAATTGGCGAAAGATGAATATGTTTTCGGATGACATTACTGATAATGCCTTTTTGGGAAAGGTTTAAGTGATAGTTGTGATGTGTGATATTCCAATCCTCAGTACTAATAGAATCCCAAATGATGTCTGGATTGATCAGAAGATCCTTTCAATTGGTAAATTTGTAATCTTGAAGTGATTATGCTTGATAGTAACAGTGATGATTGCTGTTTCAAGTCGCCAGAAGATGAATATGTATTTGAAGTCAGGTGATGTACGGAGAGTTAATTGTTATACAAGTGAAATTTCATATAAAACAGCTGTTCATTTGATGGAAAATTATGTGCATGCCATATGAAATCACACTTTAGCTTTGCAGAGCACTGACATAGGTACCTTATGCCTCATATGAGGCTGTTGCCTTGGTATAATGGGTGAGAGTGCCTCATCATAGTCGCCTCACTAGAGAAATCTCATTCGGGTTTTGATACTTGGCCTTGTTCGAAATCGAGCATCTCGATGAGAATCCAGCTCACATTCAACAATACTGCTAACTATATCCTGCCTTGGTCTATAATGATTATTCTTTTGTATTTCTTATTGGTGCTTTCTGCAGGACTGTCTTTCCGGACTACAGAAGAGAGTTTACAAAATGCATTCCAAAGCTTCGGACAGCTTGTAGAAGGTCTAAACATTGTATTTTTATGTTTTGTCCTTTGTTCCAGAAAGCATTTTTTAGATAATTCTAATTTTTACTTTTTATCAGTAGTTTATTATTAATATAGGCTTCTGAAAGAGTTAAACTTCTATCTTACAGTCAATCTGGTGATGGATAAAATTGCCAATAGACCAAGAGGCTTTGCTTTCCTCCGCTACGCAACCGAGGAGGAATCACAGAAAGCTATTGAGGGAATGCATGGCAAGGTATAGACCGATATCCTCATCTAACAGTTTCTTAATATATAATTTGTGGTTATCTGGTATCAAGAAGCCTTCCTTGTAGGCTGACTGAGTTTCATGTTAATATTTTATCCATTTCAATGGTAGCTTCGGTAAAGAAGACATGAGTCGACATATACTAGAACAGTTTCCCCTAAAACTCATATCAACTAGCCTATTTCCTGCGAAACTAGTTGATCTTCAACAAATCCAATCTGGACCGTAATTCCCAAATATCTCCTTGTTGAACCCGAATCATAAATCTCAATTGCAGTTTGTACCATAGGATTTGTACTATTAACATCAATCCCATAAGAAGAAACCATTGCAACTATCATCTCTCTTGCTTTTGTCCTTAAATCGTTTGATAACCAACATGTTACCTCTTGGATTCAGATGTTACATTACATGACAAAAAATCTTGCACAGGGAAAGATTGAAAAAAAGGGTGAAAGACATTGAACAATTACTCTTAACACGATTACTATCTCCGCATTCGTCAATGGTTCGCCAAGAAGACTTTAAACCCTCATTATCCAAAACATCCTGTAGAGACCAAAACTGTAAAAAGAACATATTTTACTTGCTTTTAATGTTTACTAGTCTCTTAAATGAGCAATATCAGATACTGATTTAAGGGGTACAACTGTTTGCTTTCAGTTTCTGGATGGCAGGGTAATATTCGTTGAAATTGCAAAACCCAGATCAGAGCTTCGCCAGGCCATAAAACAAAATCCAAGACAATACTGAACAACTAGACAACATCATTTTTGTTTGCAAAATACAATCGAGATTGAGCCAAACTCCCTAAATTCTTAATTCTCCATCATGTGTCACCAAAGTTATTTCTTTATACAGCACCGCAATCTGAAATGAAGAAAAGATGTTATTTACACTAGTTCAAGAGTTGGGACATGTTTGATGTACATCCTATACATTTTACAACAGAAACTAGCTATGATTTAAAGAATTCTGAGTATCAGAGCGTGACACCGGGTAATTTATTTGGGTATAAATTTCTTCACCGATTCAAGTATTTTTTCCATATTGTAGAAGAATACTTCACGGACTTTTCCCTGTTATGTGAAGTAATGTTTCGCTCTGGTCAATATGTTTATGCTAGCTTTGTGTTTGGTGGGTTGTTGACCTAGTATTAGAAAAACAGTTTTCCTCCTCTATATACAAGTTGTGGCATTGAATCGGATTTTCTTCTTTGCTACTTATGGAAAATGTGATATTGACATATAAACAGCTACATCAATTAACATCTAAGAATAATATTACAGTATCAAATTCAGATCCATAACATTGTTGGCTCAAATATAAACTTCAAATTCAACATCAAACCACCTTCTTTCATTAGGTTAGGTACCATATTAGTCATGATATATTCTCATCATCCTCCTTGTAAACTCCAAATGAAGAAAGGGGGTTAAGGGGACAGAAGAAAGAAGAAATTTTACATTGAAACGAAGTCACATTTTGCTGACTTCGAAAAATTATGATTTAAGAAAGAAGAGTCATGAAACATACACAGTAAAAAATAAATATGGAACAATTATGAGGCCTAATAAAAAAAAAAAAAAAAGAGCCAAACTACAGTTTCATGTTGAAATGCTGAAGATGTAATTGACCTCTTGCATTATGGTCATCAATTTGTGGAGCTATTGACAAATGGTGGCATTAGCTGCTGCTTCTCTACTTCTTCAGTATTTTTCTCGTGGAAAGAACTAAGTCGATTTTCGCAAGCTCAAAAAAACTTACGAATTTAATCAAAAACTATGCGAATTCTTCGCATAAAAAATCCCCGGAACATAAAATCGTAGTGAGTGGTACCTAAATCAGCTCAAGATTCTTGCAAGTAGGTTAGGGGATTATTGCCGAGTACTATGAGCATACTCGAGCTCTTTGCCTCTCGCGCTCTTCTGAAACCACAATGGATGATTTCATATCTTCTTCCAGAAAACATCTTTTGTATGGTACAAACCCCTTTCTGGAGTTGCAGGGGCTGGCTTGTACTGGAGAACAAGATTGTCGACAATGAGAATCAACAGCAGCATCTGAGTTTCTCTCCCTATTTTCCAATTCACTAACTGAACCAGTACTTGATCCAGTACAAGATCTTTCATGCAACATTTCCTTCTCCATGTCTTTCACATTCGATTCTACTAGTGCTGCAACTGAATTTTGGTTATCTGACATGACATAAAAAAAGGGTAGTCCTTGATACATAGTAGGCCAACATGGCAGAGACGCATTGGGGCTGCTTTCCGCAATGCCATTCTCCTTCTGTGTCTCCATACAAGGAGCTTCTGACGCGGAAGGCTTCAAGTTACCACTAACCATTCCAAGCGATAAATGTGTCTCCAATTTCTTAGACGAGAATAAGTTTATTGAATTTACATTATCAATGTTCAGATTCTCTTGACTGCTCTTGGTTATCGGTGACTCGTAACACTCCGTGTCTGATGGATATGGTTTATGAGAACCTGTTACCAAAACTGTCTTCCCAAAAAGCTTAATAGTTGCACAAGGTGGTGCCAATACGGCATCTCCTTTGATGTAGACAGACTCCTTGGAATGAGGTTCAATTTTCTGGATAATCAGATACCAACAGAAACAAGAGTCAGAAACCTGCCAAGAATATAATGGATTCTAAAATTTAATATGTATAACTCAAGGTGAAAGTTCAAAAGAAAATTTACCACAGACAAAAAATCGCCCCTGTTTGGACAGGCTGATGAAATAGAAACTTTCTCTTCTTCAGGAGAAGAGTTGGATGTCACGTATTCATTCTCTTTTTCGGCAGTTAAAACATTGGTTGACTGCATCTCAGTGGTACAAGAAGTAGGTGAGGAACATCCATTTTGTTGATCAGAGACTGCAGATCCCAATGTATCAGAAGCGAATGGAGATAAAACCGAGGTGGGAGATTGATTATCCTTGTCCAAAACCGATACATTTGTGGATGGAGACCTTTCTGGTTGATTTGAAACTGGTGTTCCTTGGAGTAAATCCGTGGATTTACGAGGATAAGGATGCATTGGTTTCCTCTTAGGCCGAGGAGGAGGTATCTCAATTGGCTTAATGGAGCTCTCAGCGCCACCATTCGACTCCCGGACCACCTGAAACCAGCAAGAGCAAGCCCGTCAGTGGAAGTGAATTACTAGGCAGATAACCCAGCTACAAATCTCGTAGCTGTCATTTAATTATATAAACTGAACTTTAAATGAGCATGAAATTAGTGACTGAATTTAAGGAATTAGACCTTAGAGAAGAACTTTTGAGCATGGCTTCGGATTTGGACAGCTGTTTTAGTACCTACATGTTCTGCATATAGATAGCAGCAACTTCTCAACTGATCCAATCACATACTAGCAAAAATTCATGAATTGATTTAACAGCATTACAATTAGCTTACCTTCAATTTGACGCCAACCCCGCCCATACAATTTCAAAGCTTCAAGAAACCTCTGATGCTCTTCCTCCGTCCATTTTTCTCTCTGTTTGGTAATGGTATAAGGCTTCCTCACCTGGTACAACAGACAACGCAACTGAGACTCCAAACAGAACAAACGACACAAGAAGGCGCAAAGCTTTTCAAAGACTAAATTGCAACTAACAAAGAAAGAAGAATCAAAATCTAACCTTCGGCAAAGCATCATTCTCAAACGAATACACCTCCTTCAGCCGAACCACACTTTCAGCTTCCGAACCAGACTTCTCACCAGCCGTATTCGACATTGTCACTTCAATTTACTCCTATTTCCATATCTAACAAATTAGATCACAACTTTCCCCCTCAAATACAAATCAAATCCAAAATTTCCACACGATTCCAAACACTACAAGCTAAAAAACCTCTAGATTCCTCATTTCCTAATCACAACAACGGCGACACCCCATTAAAAAAAGAGCAAATTTCTCCATAACACTCAAACTACACTAATTTCAAAATTTAAAGAAAAAGTCTAAAATTTTCCACAAATCTTTATTCTCAGCTACTCTTTAAATCATCTTTAAAAAAAAATAAAAAAAAATTCCTGGAAAAAAAAAAAAAAAAAACTTAACAATAAAGTAAATGCAACTTCTGTAGCTCTGTTTCTAGAAATCATGCGAAATTTTAAAATACATCATTAATAAGATAAATATAATATAAACAATAAGCATAGCAAGATTACTTATTCAAGAAATTAAAAAAAAAAAAAAAAACTCAAAGAAGCAGATCAGAAACTCACCAGCTGAATTGAAAACAAATTCTTCTCCAACCAAAAGCCTGAGAGAAAACTCCTCTGCCTCAGCGGTGAGTAGAAGCAGAGATTGTACAGAGAGGAGAAGCGAAGAGAGGCAAAATAATCAAAGGGAGCAGAGAAGCAAAAGAAGGAGAGAAGAGGTAGAGGTTTTGTGAGAAATGGAAAGAAGGTTTTTGAAGTTAAAAGGAGTGAAGTTGTGTGCCACGTAAGAATTAAAAATATTTTAATTTCCATGGAAAATTCGAGAAGGCGTGAAATCTTGTGGCTAAAAATGAACGAGCAGCTTGCCACGCGGCGGGCTCTTGTGCTGTCTCCCACTCTTTGTTTATTTCAATCCAGATAAGATATGGAAAATCGGATGGATAAATGGGGGACTTATTAGATACTTTCTGTATTATTTTACTTTCACGCGCCCATTTCTACGTATTTTTAGTGCACCTGAATAGTGTGTGGTTGTGGCTAAATTATTATTTTATCTATATATTTTATTTAAGAAATATAATAATATTATCATTCACCACTCATTTAAAAAAAATAGAAATAAACAAACATTTTTATCGGCTAAAAAACACTTTTAAAATAATATAGTAATTATTAATAGAAAGTATCCGTTAATTGACAAAAAAATATTTGGCTAACGAGAAAAACTATTTAAAAATAGTTTGCTCATTGAAAAGAGTTTTGTTAAAATTTTATAAAAATGAATAATACGATATTTGTTGTGTCTCAATTTATCCTTAAAAAATTATTAATTAAAGAAAAAAATTATAATCATTATAAAGTTTAAAATTTTTATATTATGTTCATTTATTTTACTCATGATATATTATCATTGGTATCAAAATGACCATTAACATAGAGAATAATAATAAAAAAATGCTATACTACGACCTTCCCTCACAAACTTCTTTTTATAATCTAGACGTGATAACTCACAATTCGTCAGCTCGTAATAGGTCTTACTTGGGTCTTACTTGATGAATTACGATTGACCAATTACGAACTATCATGTCATGATTATGAGAAGAAATTGTAAATGTAACATTATTTTTAGTAATATCATATAGAAAATATACACTTTAAAATAACTATAATTCACATTAATTTTAGTAATAGATATTTTAAGTATACATAAATGAGACAAACATAACTTACCACCCAACCAATTATTTAAATATAAGATATTAATATACATTTATATCTTTTAGTTACTTTTATAAAAATAGATAAATTAAACACCCACTCACAATAAAGCTGCAAGTGGGTACATAACTAAATAGAAGAAAATTCTAAAAAATATATATATTATAAAATTGTATTGTGGAAAAATATACCTACCATTAAAGATACACTTACATTAGTTTCTTCTTGCTACTCATCCAACATTAGGAAAAAAAAAAAAAAAATCACCCACCCCATAAACCAAAGAGTGGGAATAGATCTAAATAGAAAGAAGAAGAAAAATCCATTAAACTATAATATAGAAAAATATAATATCTCCATATATAAAAGTTAAGACCTAAACAATTAACAATAGTTGTTTAAATATAAAAGTTAAAGACCAAAACAATTGACAATAGTTGTTTGATATGTCATTATTTTATATTTATAAAGAAAATTAATGTCATATATAAAATTTATAAAATGTTAAGGTGCATAATAAAATGATATTGAATAACAAGAATAATATCTCATCGGTTTGTATTCAACCACATATCAAAGTTAAGTTTGTAACTCGATTGTACAATGTGAACGGTTTTATAAGTTCCATAAGATGGATAGTTTGTCACATTCTATATTGCTCATGAACATAACTTTTAGGTGAATGAAGTCAAAAAACAAATCTGTACGTGTAAAATAAACAATATTTATCTTGTTGGACATGAGATTTTACATATTAACGTAAGTTAGAAATTACATCAATTTTGTTAAATGTCTAAAAATAGAATATTAAACACTTCACCAACAATAAAGGTGCGAGTGGGGATGGATCCAAAGAGGAGAGAAATCCAGAAGACAAATATCTGTAAAAATAAGAAAAACAAGGGGAGACAAAGACGGCTGGACAAATGGAAGTTGTGGTGTGTAAGTGTAATGAGGTGAGCTGGTCCCCACGAGATTTGCATTACGCTTTTTGCCACCTCGGCTTCCCCTACCTTCCTTTCTTTACCGTAAAAGCCACGCGTGATTCGACACTATTCCAAATATTTTCTAATTTTATAATATATATATTTTAATACCGACCAAGAAAATTGTTATTTATTTAAATAAGTGTTTGTAATAATCTCTTTTTATTTGCCTCATAAATTATGATCCGAGCTCTCAGTCCACAGCAACACGGTGTATATCAGTATTAAAAAATTATCTTCAACCAATCAAAAGATGACATGTGTTAAATAGTCGGCATTCTACCAATCGAAAAATTGATATATTAATTAGTTTATAAAATATATTTTTTATAATTATTCAAGTGAACCGAAGTTTTTTTCTATGAGATTGGATTTCAGATACAATAATTGTAATAGACTTGATAATATTATTAGACTAAGTCATATAATTATATTGTATAATGTTAAGTTGTTGACATGTGAATAATAAAGGTGGAAAATAAATACCGTAAGTAAAACTTTAGGTATAGATTTTTTTTTTTTTTTTAATTATCCATGTTGGGTTTAAAGGGAGGGGAAAGTTACCACTAAGCTAAAATAAATTATTTTATATGGAATTGTGATGAATTTAATATTTTTCCTATAATACATTTAATTAATCGGTTTTAAGTTTGGCAATCTTACCTAGATAATTAGTTGTTACACTTTTTAGATACGAGAATCTAACAATAATATATAACAATCCTAGTATGTTAATATTCACACTTTATTGAAACTGAAAGCAAATACGTTACAAGAAAAACATAAAATAATAATAGAATACAGTGATTCATCCTGGTTCGTCCCACTTTCAAGATAATATATTCAACATTTAAATATATTAATTTTGTTGAGTATCAGAAAACTGCATAATATAAAGATAAACAGTATCAGCAATTCACTCTTTTCTCTATTCTCACATTTTAGGTTTTTCACTATTACATAAAATATATAATAGAAACCTAACCCCAATGGGTTTACCCGGTATAACTTGACTGGACCCAAACCAAAATATTATCAAACTAATTCTAAACCCAATTAAACATTGATTAACACACTTTACATATAAAATAAACTGATTAATTGTTTTAAAATAATATTATTTTTTGTTTGGATGATCGAACCATGATCAACTCTGGAATTATAGTTCAAGATTCATCGAATATTATCCGATCAATAAACCTTAAAGTTAGCATTTATGGAATCAATATCAACCACAAAACCCACATCAACTTTTACAAAATTTTCCAAACAAGTTAACATCCCTCTTGAAACTTCCTTCACTAAATCATTCCATGATCAAGATCCCATCATCATCCATGAGGAACGGTCAGGATTGAGGTAGAATGGAGTAAAGCACCAAAGATGATCGGAACTAGAAAGTGGTGGTAAAATGTGGAGGCCCATTTAATGATGGTGTTGGCCAATAGCGACCCAAGAGGAAGCAAATATTAAAAAGGGCGAAAAATCAAGAGCCACAAAATGTTACAAGGGTGTGTTTTGTTAGTTGGATTGAACAGAAATCAAAGTGTCTCTGACACGTGACCCTGTTTTCAAGTCATAATAAGAGATGGATCTTTCTAAGATATTCCTTTTGTGGCTGGCTTTGCCCCTCAAGAGTCAAGACTACCAAGATCGTTATCTTCTTGCGTGTGTCTGTCTCTTTCCCTGTTTGTTTATTCATTAGAGATTAATATCTCGAGACCCCTCCAAGTTTAAATCATTATTGACTAAGCCTTGTATGATTTGTGGATTTTCAATCATATTTTTACTATATCAGTTTGTATAATAAAGTTTATAAGAATAGTATTATTTATTCGAAAAAGTAATACTATACTTGCAAACTTTTTATACGAATTTTATCATACAAACTGATGTAGCAAATGATGATTGAATGATTTTAAATTAAAAATAAATTTCACTCAATCATCTTTTGTTACATCAGTTTTTACGAAAAAGTTTGTAAGTGTAGTATTACTCTTTTTGAATTATGTTATAATGTTCAAAGGAACATTACTCTTCTTATTTGACCAGTGAAAGCATCCATTGATTGAGATGAGAGACTATAGATGATATGACACTAGCAATCAGGGACGTTAGACTGTAATTGTTTGTTTTTTAGAAGGAATTTATCTAAACCCTTCAAAGTTTGAATTACAATTAACTAAGTCTTATATAATTTGAAAGTTTTCAACCATATTTTTTAATATTATATGCTTTTTTAGTTATATTATAGTGTTTAGAGGAACATTGCCTCTCTCCTAGCTTACTACTGAATGCTTTTAGTGATCGTTGACCTTTCGATTACTGAAAGCATCTAATGATTGAGATGACAAACTAGGGTTGGTATATCCGTTAATGAGATTACTGAAAGCATCTAATGATTGAGATGACAAACTAGGGTTGGTATATCCGTTAATGATTACGGACGTTATAACCAAATTTTTTTCGTTTATTAGAAGAAATTTATCAAAGTTTGAATTACTATTATCTAAGCCTTAAGTAATTTGTTTCGGATTATATTGTATCACTGAAACTAATGTTGCCTTCCATAGAGATCAATTATTAGATACTTTCCTAGGTCATTAACCCTTTGACTAATAGAAGCACGCAATGATGGCGATCATGAACGTTACGATACGAAGGTCCAAACAGGTTGGGACAATCACTAGGATCAACCGAAATTCACTAGGATCAACCGAAATTCCCTGTAACAAAAAGTATAGAATGTGATATTGAAATTGGGTCAAATTTGAGGGGTGTAATAAAATTTGGGGGTGTATAATAATGAAATAATTAGTTGATTTGGTGTGGCTTGAAACCTCGTGAACCAGATCACATGTGGGTCTGTAAAAGGCTTACATGGGAGTGATTCTCACAAATATTGTGAGCCAAGATACTGATTCGTCCAGATCAGGACTGAATGAGGCAAGTGATTTGAAGCCTCAAATTTGGTATGGTATGGGACAACATCTGATAAATACCCAAATTATGGGCACTTGAACCAACTTCACATGTCTTGTTATTTGT